ATTGTAATCCTCAGACCCTTCCAATCACCAGTTGCCTTGGAGATGTCATCACCAACCTTTTTTGGAGAGAGACCCAGGGGGCCGATCTTGGGGGCCAGGGCAGACGTGGCACCAATCTCCCCACTGGTGCACCTCAGGTATACGGCTTTGATCTTGCTGGGGTCGAACTTAGGCGGCATGGTGGAGGTGGCTGGTGTCGATGAAACCAGATTCAGGATGACTGAAGAAAGTTGCACCTTGGCCTCCTCCGAGCCAAGAGCCAAAAGCTCTTTCTCTTTATTTTCTCTGTGCCACAGTCTAGGCACTTCTTCATATACATCTCTGATTCACAGATTCTCTCTTCAGATGAGTCTAATAGGATATTTATTTCATCCAGTGAGTTTTAAACTTAGGCAATTACATTTTTCATTTTTAAAGATTCTATTTGTTCTCTTTTAAATCTGCCTGATCACTCTAGATCTATCGCTCATTTTTAATTCTACTCTTTTATTTCTTTAAACAATTCACATATACTAATTTTATATTCTGTACCCAAAATATTAATATCTGAGATCTTTGGGGGGGCCTTATCAGTTGTTTTATTTCTGTTGACTTTCATAATTATGGTTTGTTTCCTTATGTGTTTAGTGATCTTTGATTGTGAACTGATATTTAGTTGATTTTAATCTGGGAATCCTAAGTTCTTTCTGACTTGGTACTACTTTAGCCATTGAATTTATTTCAATTTTTGTATTTTTTAATTGTCACAGTTATTTGGTTCTTTTTCACATCTCCTTTTCATTTTTTTTTTTTTTTTTTTGGTACACGGGCCTCTCACTGCTGCGGCCTCTCCCGTTGTGGAGCACAGGCTCCGGACGCGCAGGCTTAGCGGCCATGGCTCACGGGCCTAGCCGCTCCACGGCATGCGGCATCCTCCCGGACCGGGGCACGAACCCGCATCCCCTGCATTGGCAGGCAGACTCTCAACCACTGTGCCACCAGGGAAGCCCTCCTTTTCATTTTTTAAGCACATCTTTTATTCTTGTAATATCAATATATTAAACATTTAAAAAATATTTACTTATGTATTTATTTGGCTACGCCAGGTCTTAGTTGCAGCATGTGGGATCTTCGTTGCTGCATGCAGGATCTTTAGTTGTGGCATTCTGGAACTTTAGTTGCAGCATGAGAACTCTTAGTTGCGGCATGTGGGATCTAGTTCCCTGGCCAGGGATCAAACCTTGACCCCTGTATTGGGAGCACAGAGCCTTAGCCACTGGACCATGAGGGAAGTCCCATTAAACATTAAAATATATTATCTGATGATTCTGGTATCTGAAATCTTTGTAGGTCTTATTCTGAGGTCTGTTGTGCCTTGTTTCCTTTGGTGTTTAGCAATTTTAAAACTTATAATCCATTTTCTTTGAAACTTTGGTGAAATTCTTTGAGGTTTCAGATGACAATGGGTTTCTCTACAAATTATTGGCATTTGATTCTCTCAGGCACCTAGAGAACATTAACAGTCTAGGAACTACTTAAACTAAATTCTAACCTTGAGGCTTTCTAGTCTCCTCAGAGTGATTTGGGGCATATGAGTGGTATTTGTAGTTACATATTTTCTGGGAAAATTTCTTCATTTTTTGTCTTCCATTAATCAGTTTTCCTAGCAATCCTGGGGGTGGCGTGGGGGTCGAGGATGCTTTTGTTATATAGGATTCATTTTTTTAAAAAACTTGATTTACTAATAATTATAGTTAACAGGAGGTTGCAAAGCAAGTACAGTGAGGGTCAGTGTAATCGTTACCCAGTTTCCTATAATGGTTCTATCTGTATTATTGAAGTACAATGTCAAAACCAAGAAATTGACATTGGAACAATGTGTGTGTGTGTGTATGTGTGTGTGTGTGTGTGTGTGTGTGTGTGGTTCTACACCATTTTATGGCATATGTAGATTCATGTAATCACCACCACAATCAAGATACAGAACTATTCCATCATCACAAAGATCTCCATGCTATCTAACCTTCTTACCCCACAGGGATCAGTAATCTCTTCTCCATCTTTATAATTTTGTCCTTTTGTGAATGTTGTATAAATGGAATCACACAGTATGTGACCTCTTGAAAATTGCTTCTTTTCACTAAGCATAATGCACTTGTGACCCATCTAAGTTATTGTGTATATCAATAGTAAATTCCTATTAACTGCTTAGTAATGTTTCATATTAAGGATATACTACAGTGTATTTAATCATTCACTTATTGAAGGACGTTTAGGTTTTTCTAGTTTGGGGATATTACAAATAAAGCTTTTATGAACATTTCTGAACAGGTTTTTGTGTGGACTTATGTTTTCATTTCTCTGGGATAAATGCCTAGGAGTGTGATTGCTGGGTTATATCGTAAGTGTATGTATGTTCACATATGTTTTTAAGAAACTGTATCTCTGCTGTTCCGTGGTTACACACTTAGGATTGATTGCTGTGTCTCCTTGGTGGATTTACCCTTATCATTATGTTATGTTCTTCACTGTCCCTGGTAATTTTCTTTGCTCTTAAGTCTACTTTATCTGATATTAATGTAGCCAGTTCTGCTTTCTTTTCCTTTTTTTCCCCCTTTTCCAGCTTTTCTTTTGATTAATGTTACCATGGTATATCTTTTGCCATCCTTTTACTTACTTTCTTTTTTTAAATATTTATTTATTTATTTGGTTGTGCCAGGTCTTAGTTGCAGCAGGTGTGCTCCTTCACTGTGGCTCGCCAGCTCCTTAGTTCTGGCATGCGAACTCTTAGTTGTGGCATGCATGTGGGGTCAGTTCCCTGACCAGGGACTGAACCCCGGCCCCCTGCATTGGGAGCACAGAGTCTTAACCGCTGTGCCACCAGGGAAGTCCCCATCCTTTTACTTTCAATCTACCTATATCATATTTGAAATGAACTATGTGTATATGAACTATGCAGCTGGGTCTTGAGTCTAACTCAGTTTTAGAGTACAGCCCTGAAGCTCCAGCTTTATGAGTGTCTCGCCACACACACTCAAGCAGGCTTTGTTCTTCAAGCCTCTGAAGGCCTATGAAACCACAGAAATCAATATTCAATGTTACCAATTTGACAAATACCCTCAAGATGAAAGGCAGCTTTTGTGCTCCAGTTATCTAAGTTCCTGTCTTCACACTCAGTCCTTGACCTATGCATTTTCTCTCTTTAATAATTTTCAGTGAGAAGGTTGGTGTGTGCATGTAATCTGCCATGTTGCTGGAGAGCCAATATAATCCTCAAAACAACTCTCTGATAAGGTATTGTTGCTCTCATCTTACAGATCATGAAAATGTATGACACTGTGAGAGATGATATAATATAATGGAAACATGTGAGTTTTGAGGCAGGCCGACCTAGGCTTGAATTTTTTTTTTTTTTTTTTTTTT